TATATATATATATATATATCATTTATTCAGTGCTAACATGAGGTGGTGGAACCTAGTGGGCTTGTTGTGTTGGTCCTTAGATGAATAATTATTACATAAATTTGAGATTACTATATAATTAAAAAAATTATATTTAGTTAAAATTTTTCAATTAAATTAATTTTTAGTTAAAAGTTTTCAATTAAATTAATTTTTTTAATTATTTAAATAAGATTTCAGGTGAACTGATGGGTTCTTAAAAACCTAGGCTGATTTCAAGTTTTAGCCGGTTGTATCAGCAATTCACATCGGTTTGATGCTGGACCAATTTTTAAGGCGAACATAACCGGCCATATAATTAGTTCATTGTTGAACTGACCAAACTGGTCGGTCTAGTCGGGTTTTCAAAACCATGACGAATCTCCCAACCTTTTAGACTCATTACAAGTCCTAACCAGCTCAAATTTGAATTAATTAAGTTTATTTTCAACTAGCTTAAAAATTTTATTTGTATTTTTCAGTTTAATTTATTGACCGATATAGTAGCGAACTCTCCCCAACTATGGGATTGTACCCTTTCGTAGCGTCCTTGTTGCTTTGAACCATACGTCACCAAATAAATCTTTAATGCAGCCACAGAGATGGATTATCTCAAGAAATATACGAACTTGCATCCTGAGATTCAGCTAGTCATGAATTTCATTACCCATACAATTCAATTGGGCATGCCCCTCATATCAAAATAACACAAGAGCTTCATCTAAAAGTTTGTTATTTCTATCGAAGGCTTGATGATGGAAGTCTTTCCAACTCAGCCTATTTAAGTTCACGAACTCATCAGCTGACCCATAAACCCTTGGTGCAAGGTTGGAGGGTTTTGCTAAAGTGTATAGATCATATCAAGCGCTTTTTAGAGCAATACTTGTGTCAAGGGTAGTTTATACTAGGTTATATATATTATTATATCCTTTTTCTTATTTGGTATAGCCTTTTTAATAGCCCTTGAATCCCTAAATATAAAAAATAAAGAGGAGCATTTTGAATCTTTTGGCATGTCTTTGAAGTCTTATTAAGCTAGTAAAATATTTTTCTCTCTCAAAGCCCTTCTTCCACTTTCCATACTCAACATATCTTCTCTGGTTCAAGTCTTGCGAGCTTGCTTACTAATATGATTAGGCATCTTTAGTTTTATGTAAAATTGTAGTATATAGTGTAATAGTTAAAAACTGCTTAAAGATATTCTTTTCTTATGAAAATCTTAAGAAATAGTCCTTAGAGTGAATTTTTCATTGAAGTGCCACAGTGCCATATAGCTCAATACCACAACACTTGGGGCTAAAATTTGTGTGCCAAGATACAATGCTCATTGTCATAGTGCTTAATTTTAAAGCCTTGTTGGCCTTATTTTTGCATGAGGTCAATATTCAGTCTCTAAGTTCCTTAGTACATAGGGGTCCTTCTCTCATAGGATGACCTAGACTATAGAGACCTTTGATAAATCCTTGGGACATTGTCTTGGCCAATTCCAAAGAGATCAAAGTTTTCCTTAAATCATTCATATTAATATTATGAAATTCCAAAACCCTTTCAAATGCCAATTCAGCATTCAAATTCAAACGCAAACCAAGTTCATCTTAATTACATTTAATGTCACTTAAAATGGCATTTCACTTCAAATTTGCAATCAACCCTTGCAAATGACCCAAAATTATTCAAACCCATCTCCCGCATTGTTTGATTATATTGAGATCACCTACTTAACCAAGTTTGACCATGGAATGCCCCTTAACTCCAAAATTTATACACATTGTTTTTCTTGGGCTATATCAATTCCTAAACCTTAGGATTAGTAAGGGGGTTGAATTTGTTCTTTTATAATATTTTTGGATTTTTTTTCAAAATTATTTCCTTAAAAAATAAATCTTGAAATATTAATAAGTAATTAAAATTTTAAATTAAATCATCAAATAAAAACTCCCAAGAAATTTTTTGTTAATAGTTTCAGAGAACTACAAATAAATTTTTTTCCTTTACTAACTTTCAAAATAAACATCAACCAAAAATAATCTTAAATTTCTCTTTCACACATGTAATCAAAATTAAACTACATCAAAGTAAAATAAACTACAGGAAATGTAAGAAAATGCAAACTAAGGTTTATAGTTGTTTGATCAAATTGACCTACATCCACTCACTAAAATTCCTTATAATTGGGAATTACACTAAACATGCTCTCCTTTAGTACACAGCTACATAGAGAAGACAATCTCTCTTATCCAAGTGGAGAATCACCCTTACATACTCATCACAATTGAAGAATCTCCCTCCTCTTGCCTCCACGGCCCAACACACTTACAAAGATACAAAAAAAGTAATAAGAAAATTATAAATAGGAATGATCAAATGTTCTTCTCCATACTCCTTCCACCAATCATACAGTTACTTACATAGATAAACTAATATTTCTACAAAATAAAAGTATCTAACACTTTCCTAGCCTCACTTAGACTTTTCTCTAAGTGGGCACTAAAGAAACACATGTTGAGATAGTTGCAACTTAATCTTTTTTTATTGTTGATATTCATGTAACGTGTATGTTTTTGATGATTCCAAATATTATTTCTTTGATTACAATTTCTCCTAACATATTTTGAATGCATTGTTTTGTTGTTTGTGTACTAACATTTCAAAAAAATCATATTCTAGATTGTTGAAGACTTCAAATCAGATCAGTTTAGGATTTATTGTAAATGAAGTCTGTATTTATAATTTTATTGAGTTTGAGAGAGTGTGATTGTAATTGAGTAATTGTGCACACACCATGGGAGTGTTTAAAATTTGCAAATTTTTCAACTAATTGTACTATACGAAGTCTTTTGTATAAGACAATTTGTTTAGTTATATTTCCCTACGAGTAGTCAAACAAACAGAAAGTAGAAAGTTTTTCTTAGTATGGATCGTACAATACGATATAACATTCATATGTATGTCATCAAGTGTATAAATTGGACGTCCCTTTTCGACTAGACTATTTTAAAAGTTTTTTCTAAATGGTTTGTACCATACGATGTCATCATCGTACTTACGTCGTCCAGTGTGAGGGTTGGACAAGTCCCTTTTCTTCTAGATGAACTTAAAAATTTTCTAAATGATTCGTACCATACGATGTCATCATCATATGTACGCTATCTAGTGTATGAGTTGGACGGATCCCTTTTCATCCTGATGAACTTGAAAATTTTCTTAACTGATTGTACCATATGATGTCGTCATCATACATACGCCATCCAGGGCACAAAATTATGGAGTCCCTCTTCGTCCCGATGAAGATGAAAATTTTTTAAAATGTTCATACAGTAATAACTGGGTTCGTACTGGACAATCATCTTGTACGAAATCATTTCATGCCGATTCACATAAGGTTCTTACACATTAGTTTTTGAACTGCTCGTATGTACGAACATACGATCGTATTATACTATCATACATGCTCAAAATAGAAAATTTCAGTTTTCTAAACAGTTTTTCGTGCCTTTCATATAAAAGATACTTTAAAACTAAAGTGAAAAGAGTTGTTCTTCATGATTTTTCAAGGGAAAAAGAATGAATGAGTGTTGGAGAGTGTTTGAGAGAGATTTCTTATAAGTGGAGTCTAAAGGGTTCACAAGGTTACTCATAGATAAGGATCTCTTTGTGTATTTGGTTATCACTCTTCTTTTCTTCTTTTAGTTTCTCATGAGAAGATCTATAAAGAAGATCTGGTACTCTGCCAACACTTGGAGGGTGTGAACAAATGACGATACTCTGCCAACACTTGGACGGTGTGAACAGACGACGATACTCTACGACACTTGGAGGG